ATATTAATAATAGTAAGAACTCAAACTTATGCTCTCCCTCTCTATCTTCAAGTATTCTTGAACTTTACTAACAAATATAGAGAGAACAAAATCACAAATGCAAAGTATTTCCAAAGGAGAATATTCATTGTTTGGTTTTTGACATTATTAACTTTTTCACCAAAAAAAAAAAAAAAGGACATTACTATCTTAGGGTTGGGCGCCGCCAACGGCAGGGTATTCCTCTCTACCGTTGAATATTTTTTTTTTGGTTGCCATAAATTTTTTACGATGATTTTTATTGCTAACAAGCTCGGCCTAGCTAATATGTTATTTACAGCGTTGATTATAAGTGCATAAGGTTGCTTTTAAGTGGCTGATCGACTTAATTAATTAAAAGTATGAAATTTTAAATTAAAAATTAAAAATTGAATTTTAAGAGTTTGAGTTGAATGAAGAGAAATTTGAGAAAAAAAGTAATTTTTTTGTATAATTTATTATCAAATTTATAAAACAAAAAATGTACGTGAGATTTTATGAGTTCAGATTATTAATTACAATTTGTTATAATGTATATGATCTATGGTTAAATCAAAGTACAAGGTGTCATTAATTAATAGTGTTATTACGTATGGTGTAGTTAATAATATAATTTTTTATTAAGTTAATAATGTTATTAATTAGAGTGTTGTTTCGTATGTGCAGAAAGTCTTATGGGTTAAACCGAGGAGTTATGAAAATAATTTAATTTTTCTTAAATAAAATCTTAAATTTGAGTTTTGTAAACGGAAAAACAAGTATGAAAAAGTTTTTCTCCTATGAGATACGATCTAACCTGACTCAATTTCAAATGAATTAGGATTCTCTTTAATATGATTTCTATGGGTTAAACCAAGGAGTTATGAAAATAATTTAGTTTTTCTTAAATAAAATATTAAATTTGAGTTTTGTAAAACAAAAAAATAAATATGAGAAAGTTTTTCTTTTATGAGATTCAACCGGACCTGACTTAATTTTAAATTAATTAAGATTCACTTTAATATGATTTCTATACACCAAGAGGTTTAGTATAAACAAAAAAATTTAAGGATTAATAAAGACTTATTAAGTAACTACCTAATAAATTATTAATAAAAAAATATACGTTTTTACCTAAATAATATGTCAGGTTATACCAAAAGATGATAAAAAAAATTGTTCCAAAATCATTTTTCTATAATTAGAGTTTGAACTCTTATTTTCCTTAATTGCCTACTACTCTTCTTACAAGGGTTTCCATAAGTTAGCCTGTGCCATAGAGAAAAAGGTCTCAAGGGTTCAAATTATTAACTATGCCCCATAACAACAAAAATGAAAAAATTACAGAAGAAATGAGATTAGACAACTTAATTATGCCCAGGATTGATTCAGAAAATCGCATTCAATTAAGAGTGTGTAAATAGAGTTTCTTCACTTCAATATGCTGAGCATGGGATACAGGAAAATTGTAGAATACTAACTCTCAACTCCTCTACCTCTCAAGTCCATGTAATCTACTTCTCTACAAAATTAAAAACACCGTGCATGGGAAAAGTCCAATTATATTCTGTAGAGAGGCCGCATTAGGCTGTCCGTTTGCAGCATTTGATCTTCTATGAGGTGCACCTCAGATCTGTTGAACATAATGCAAAACTTGGTTTTTCATTGTGTCTTCTCAAGAATAATACACCAGTTTGATTTGTCAAAAAACTTGTCGCGCATTGTCCATTCCTGATGCAAGCCTGCACAAATTTATACAAAACAT